ACTTAGTTTTGTGTGTGTGTAACGATAGCGAGAAGACACAGAGAGAGAGATGCGCTTCAGCGTGATAATAATTTTGGCTATATCAAAACATTAAAAATGGCAAATAAATGAACCTATAATGTATTTTACTATATACGAATACTCTAGTCTTTATAATAAAACATAACTTAAGAAATTATGCTATAACTTAAGCAATATTGACACACACACAAACTAGTAACGTGTGCACTCGATGACATTTTCGTTTGGCTTGATTACATTCACTGGTAGCTTGGTGACATAGCTCATGTGTACCAGGTGTGTACTAAGGACAGAGGGTCTCCCTTGGGCACACACAGCTGCAACATTTGGAAACACATCAAGCTCTGGGACTGTATCTATAAATCTTGTAAAGGCTAAAGGTCGCATTGAGTCAATCCCATTTTAAACTACCATATTCTTAGTGAGAGTAGTCGGTCCTACAGCATCTTCCTTCAATCATGTCATCACAATGAGGAAATAAATATTAAAAAGCCCATATCATAGTGGCTAAATCAGGAGACTCAGGAAAACCTTTACCCAACACACTAAACCTTTGGTCAGTGGGAGACAGAATACAGAAACGTAATTAAAGGAAGCTTTTTGGATCTATCGACTGAAAGTATCCCAGTCTCAATGAGGATATAGACTATAGCATTTCTTTAAATATTTTGTTCTTTTCTTTGTATAGTCTTCCCTGTTTTTCTCACTGGGGACTGTGATGGCCATAGCAAAACCTTTATTCTGTGGTCGGTAAACCATTTTTGTGTAGATTTTGAGGTGTGCTTCGGATCATTGTCCTGCTGGAAGGTCCAACCAAACCCACCTTTGATGTTTGTTGCCAAAAAGCTCTATTTTTGGTCTCATCTGACCGTATAACCTGGTCTCATTGAAAGTCCCAGTAACATTTGGCAAGCTGTAGGCGCTTTAGTTTGTTGTTGATTGACAGCAGAGGCTTTTTTTCTGGCAACCCTCCCAAACAACTTGTGGTGATGTAGGTGGCGTCTGATGGTAGTTTTGGAGACTTTCTGACCCCAAGACTCAACTAACCTCTGCAGTTCTCCAGCTGTGATCCTTGGAGATTCTTTTGCCAGTCGAACCATCCTCCTCACGGTGCGTGGGGTCAATGTACACACACGTCCTCTTCTCGTCGCTTTAAACTTCTTAGTTATTGCCCTGGTAGTGGAAATGGGTATTTTCAACTGTTTAGAGATTTTCTTATATCCTTTTCCTGATTTGTGCAGCTCAATAACTTTTCGTCGCACATCGTCGCTGTGTTCTCGGGTCTTTCCCATGGTGATGAATGACTAAGGGAATTTGTCCTGTGTCACCTCATATTTATACCCCAGTGAAACAGGAAGTCATGGTTGACCACTTAAGAAAATTATGACTGGAATTATACTTCAGTTAGATTTTAATCATGAGATGTTCTAGGGGTGCCAATAATTGTGGCATACATGTTTTGGAGAAAAATATGTATTTAATGTCAACATTTTTTTTTTTTTTCTTTCAATAATTTTACTTCAATGAAAAGGTTCGATTTTTGTGAATATTTTGAGTGAAAGACCAAGAGGATAAACAGCAAAGACATGTTTTCACAGCCTGTTTTGCTCATATTCACTAAGGGTGTCAATGATTCTGCAGGGCACTGTACATACAGTGCTTTGTATTTCAAAGCACATGAACCGACACGTGGGTTTATATTTACTACCACTCAAGGATATATTTACTATTTTTATTACAGTAGGAAATGAGCCAGCATTCTCTGGTGCGCACACACTGTGTCTGTGTCTTAAACTGTCGAGTACAAATGTCCTGGACTACCTTTCTGCACAAGGTGCAGCACAGGGTCTTGTTCTTGACCTGTTTATACAAACAACACATGCATACAGTGTAAAGTGGACTCAACGTGCAGAAGCACTGCAAGAGCATGCCACATAGACATGCCCCTTATTTTGTACAATTGCATCATATTTAGGAACAGGGGCTCTCAACAGGTGTAGCATGGCTCAATGACTTGCAAATACACAGATTTTTTTTGGGAGTTCACAGTTTTGTAGTTTTTAAGTTTACAGGGCAGAAACTGAACTTAGAGGCTGTAGTGCTGGACCTACAGGACAGATTGGAATTTTGACCGAATGATGGCGCTTCATGAGTAGTCAGGGGATCACCAATGTTTACAAAGACCCTGAATGTCGACACCCGATTTCATGGTCAAATTGAAGGATTATTTTACTCTGATGGAGGAAAACTAAAGGAAAAGTCAGGGGATCCTCAAAGTCATTAAGAATTATCCTATGGGCACCATGCATGTCTGTACCAAACTTTAATGGAAATCTACAGTCGTTGAGATATTTCAGTCTGGACCGAAGGGACGGACCAACCGACCCATCCTGCTACAGTAGTACAGCTAAAAAACAAGCCCCGAAAGCCTTTACTCGAAAGGCTTTGTGGCTCCAAGCCCAAAGTACAAGGTTCATGACACATATCATGACAAGATATGTCCCATTTGTACCTCAGGAGCTTGAACGCGAACTTGCTACATGTGGCACTTAGAACAGACGAGATCAACCAAATGCTGTAACTTCCACATAGACACACACACACATCACGGCATACCCAGAAGAGTACATACCAGCCCTGCTTCTGCAACACGTTCCATACACTTTCCATCCAACACAGCTGTTAACTCTTTGTTCCATTTTTACACGTATCATCTTCATCTCACTCTCTCATACTCACACATCCAGGACATTGTAGACATGATATTTTGGTGACTTGCTATTCTTAGCTCCCTGGCATGACACCGTCCACACTCATCATTACATTAACACCCCCTCAAAAAACAAACAGTAGCGGCAGAACAGCATTCTAAAAGTGACAGCGCGTCTTGTTGGGCTCGGGGTACATATCGTATACTGAAAGGGGAAGACTCTGTTCACTTCCAGCTGGGGATCTTTATTCCATTACCAGTCTTGTCTGCCTCTACTTTTTTATTAATAAAGACTAAAACGCAAGAGCAGCAGAAAGTCTTAAAAACACAGAGTCAGCAATGCGTCAGGGACACATCCTACATGTTATGGTGCAAATACCTCAAACAAGGTAAAAAAAAATAAAAAAAGAATTACACACCTGAATGTTCAAAAGTTCATCTGATCTGAATCTTTTAGTTAACGAGACATTCCCACGTAAAGCCTTTGAATATTTAAAAGTGCATAACGAGACAATCTTCCTTTTAAAATCAATCCCTAAAAGTATACGTGGACATCCAAACAATAAATCCATACGTGATTCATTTCGTGACTCATTACAAAACCACAGGCATTGATAAGAAGTTGCCTCACCTGCTGCTGTAAGAGTACTCACTCTTCTGGCGAGTCACCCATTTTACTGCACGTTTGTCAATGGAAATTGCACGTCAATAGGTGTGCCTGAGGCTGCTGAACCCACAAATGATTACATAAAGATTGATTACAATGATTACATAAAGATAAAGTGCAAATAGCAGAAGGTGGTGCAAGTAAGGATGCACATGTACCTTTCAACAGCCTCTCTCTTATGTTTAGTATTTGATGTATGGAATCTATTCTTAGATCCTTCCGCAGAGTGAAGTACGAGCTGGAATTTCAAAAAGTTCATTCTTTTTGGATCAATGTGTCAAGACCGTCTGCAGCAGAACCTCTCAGATCGAGTCAGAGAACAGATCTCTAGACCAATCACATGACTCGTTCTCATCATCCAGGAGGTAACAATGAGATCCATCCAGAATCCCCTCATCAACCGTCTTACGGTCACAATCTTCTGTTCGTGCCAGAGCTCTCTGTGATGGTGTGAAGCTTTGAGTTCTTTTACAATAAACTCCGTCTCCCTGCTGCCCTTCCCCAGAATAACCTAAACGACCGCTGCTGTTTCCAGTCTGCATTCTCCTTCTGAGCTTCACACTCCGTCGTGTTTCAGCAACAGGAGTCGGAGGAATAATAACTTCACTGTCCTCATAATCACAGACAGTCACATCACAATCACCTGAGTCACACCCGGGGTTGATGGTTCCGGTTGACCCTGTGTTCGGAGCCCCTCTCTGGACCCGTGGGTGCTGCGGAGCCAGCAGACGTTTTTTATGCTCGTCTGGTTCCCAGAACCCCCTTTCGGGGGTACATCTGTGGCTGGAAGTCTTACTCCACACCAGGTCTTCTTTTGTAGACTCTCTGCCACACTGGGACAGCTGGTGAGCACTGACACAGTTTGATTTACAAAGAGGAGAGGTGCTATTGGCTGACTTTTTACTGTCAAATTGTGAACTGAATTCAGCTGATGTCAAGTTTCTGTATGAGAAGGCGGGTGAGCCTTTCACTTTTACAATGGGGGTGGACTGAGAGGGAGGGATGAAATGAAGACCTTGTGTGCCTGTTGAAATTAAACCGTCTTTGTTAATGCATTGTTTACGTTTACGTCTCTGTTTGTCTGGTGTTGAATGTGAATCCTTTTCACTCCTCGGGTGCCGTTTGTTAGCTTTGGGAAGCAGTGGGCACGCTTCTGTGCTCGTCCTGACAGTTTCGGCACGCGTGTCGAGTTTGTTTGTGCTCATTTCGATAAGGAGCGAGCTACCGAATAGGTCTGCCGAACAATTGTAGGTATCCCCTTCAAGCTGCTCTTCTTCAGAAGACAGAGAACGAGCTTTCTCATCCTCCTGATTACACTCATGGGTACAAATGTTCCTGGCTTGACTCTTGAATGCACATCCAACAGGGGTCTGGTACACCTGGTCGGGTAAATCATGTCCGTCACCTCCATCCGGTACAGGTGTATTGGTGACATCCAGTAATATCTGTGGTTGGATGTCTGTTATCTGTGTTTGACAAGCAGCAGTTGATTTATGTGATACTCTATTGTCTTGTGAACTGATTTCCAGGTTGTTTCTTTCTTTCTTTTGCACGTTGAGATGTGGCTCCGTTTCACCAACAATGTCAAAATCTTTGTCATCCTCACACGAAAACTCTGAAAGACTCTCAGAGAACGGCAAATCTTCCCAAGCCAAGGAGCTTGACAAAAATGTTTGGGTGAGTTGTCGGGTAGAAAACGTCTTCTCCTTGGAGATGCTGTGGCCAGGTGGGGGGGGGGCTGAAGCAAGTGTTCGGGATGGACGTGTTTCCAACGACTTTCTCGGTTGATGAGCACGGGTATTTGGAAGTACCGCACTCTGAAGAAAGAAGAGGCGACGGCGCTTTCTCCTCTGTGACTTCACGGTTCTGCGGGCAGCCTCTCTGTGCACGATGTGGTGTTTTTCTGTTTTCTGTCTGTCGGCTGTTCTCATCTCCGCTGTCCAGGAGACTGAAGCCTTCCTCCTGCTCTGCTGATGAAGTAACCAGTCCAAGGGACTGTTCCCATGGAGGGGTGGGAGCAAGGGTGCCATCCTGGTACTGTGAACTAGGAAAAGAAAAGCAATTAAAAAAAAAAATAAAATGAAAAGGCACATGTGAAGTATAAAGACAAAAAGCATGTGAAACTAGCCTTATTTTTACAGTAGATCGAGAGAATCAAGAGCAGACTTACAGAAGGTTTCAAAAGACACTTAGGACTGTCCATAGACAGACTCCTCTCCCGTCTTATTGAATAAAGACCGTCAGATTTATTCTTTGCAATTTCAGTGTGTTGATGTTTTTCTTACATTTAAAAGAAAACACTTTTAGAGACACAATTCGTAGGAGCTCACAGGCCAAACAGTGAGCTCGTAAGAATACATTCATCCTTCATTTACTCATTCATTCATTCATTATCTTCGGCTCATCTGAGGCCCGGCAGGCTTAGCGGGGTATTTCAGACGTCCCTCTCTCCAGCAACATTTTCTAGCTCTTCCTGGGGGACGCTGAGGCGTTCCCAAGACAGCCGAGATATATAATAACTCCAGCATCTTCTGGGTCTACCCCAGGGCCTCCTACCAGTTGGTAGGCATCCAGGAGGCCTCACCTGACGCTGCAGCAAACTGCCTATCCATCTCCCACTCCATTTTTCAAGACCCTGAGAGACTTGAACATCCATCCATCCTTTGGACAGTGACTGTCTCTTAACACGCAATCTAGCGTTTTCTGGCAGATAATCATGGCCTCAGATTTGGAGGTACTGACTCTTATCCTGACCATGAGAGGCCCTTGAGCATACAGTCACAATTGAGCACCAAAAACATTAAGCTGATGGGTCCAGAAATGTGCGAGATTAGCCATGGATGCATAAACAAGCACACACACACACGACCAAACACATAATCTCCCCATGCTACGCTTGGTAGAGATAATTATCAGATAGAAAGTAATACTTATCAGTAGCTTCTTCGTGTTATTACCTTTGTGGTGATTGGGAAAGAAGACCTGAGGCAGGAAGTGTGGAGTTATTGAAGCTGCTGGCAGGACAATGTTGAGGAATCAGCAGCAGGGCAGCTGCTGGGGGTCTGGAGGTTTTGCTGGGGTCGGTGGATCCCAGCTCATATTCTGCAGCTCTCTGAAGAAGGAGCTGATAATAACTGAGCACTGTGCAGCCTTCCAGGCCTGCAGCTGTGGGGAGAATCATCTGACTGGCAATAAAGTGGACCGCTTCTTTACTGCTGGAGCCATTCGCAGCAGGCACTCCTAACCAAGGCTGACTTTCTGTTTGGGTTACCTAAAAGGACACAGACCAGACCAGGGATGTTTGAGAGCAAGCAGCCTGAATACTAAACATTTGGGTGTGAAAAACCAATATTAATTTAGTTTTGTGTTCATTTGTTTAACATTAACACATAACCCTAGATTTGTTTTGATACTAGCAGCACAGCTCTAGGGATGGAAAGACAATGGTGGTCTGTCGGCTGGTCGGCCCACCACTGTGGTCCAGACTGAAATATTTTACTTGATGTGTTGACAGAAAATGTTGCAAAGACATTCATGATTCCCACAGGAAGAAATCAACTAACTTTTGGTGATCCGTTGACAGCTCTTTAGTTGTTCGATTATTATATATTATATTAGTATCAGCCTATTGATGCAGTAACATGTAAGATGCAAAAGGATGCAACCAGTGAGAAAGCTGGTAGCACTGGAAGAGTTGTCTGGAGCTCTGTAGAGGCATGCAAGGCTTCTAGAGGATGAATCCTAAAGACTTTGGGGATCCTCTGACCTTTCCTCTTCTGCCACCATGAGGTCGACATCTGTGGTTCGTGTTTTTTTTTCAAATTTATTTGACAACTGTTGGACAGATTGCTGTGAAATTTGGTACAGACGTGCACATTCCCCTAAGAATGAATTGTAATCTCTTTGTTGATCCCTTAATTCTTCCTCTAGCCCCATCATCAGGTGAAAATTTATTTTTTCCAATATCAGCAAAACTAATGACATTCCCACCAGCCTCAACTTTGTGTTCAGTTCTAATTAGCAATTGTTAAAATGCTACTATGCTTAAGTAAGACGGTAAACATGGTAACATTAGAATACCAGATATAAACATCTGCATATTAGCAGAGCAACTTTAAGACTGAGATCAGCGTATAGCCTACTTAGCCGGTAGCATTGCTGTCGACTCTTAGTCTTGTTTTAAAGAATATTGAACATGATACATACTAAACAGGTTATTAACTTGTCACAGCTCTCTGGTGGGCCAACTATGAAATGGTGACTCTGTTTCTAAGTTACCAAAAACACTTTTTTGTTACCTATTGGCCAACATAAACACATACACCTAGATACATATCTAGATGTATGTAATGATAAGCTAATATCAGCTAAGTAGAGCAATACATAATCGCAATTGTACCTTTATACCAAAGATAAAATGTCTGCCAATGAAACAATCCTCCACCGCCTTCATCAGCAACGTGGATCTGGTTGACGGTCCATCCGAGTTCTCCACCAACCTACAGCATTACAGAAACAACAGAAACCCACAAGGCTTTCTACTGAACTGGCAAAGAGAGAAACCACCGATATCAAGATGAGCTTTTTAAATGTGCCACACTTAACACTGGTAAAATAAACGCGGGTCTTCCCTCTGACCGACACGGGGTTTACCACAGTGTTGTATAAACATAGTTATGTCACCTTACCTGACACCAAAAAATCATAAAAGGTTAATACACTTGCCAGATATTTAATACTAATAATAGTGTTGTTTAGGCCACAGTCTTGAGTCTTCTAACTACAACAAGAGAACTTGAAACTGAAACTTTAAAAGATCTAAGTGGCTTAATCTTTTCCAGGGGAACCACTGCAACGTGCAGCATACTGAAGCAATGCTGCATGTGGACCAGGAGGTTTCAAGTGAGCAAACCACGCTCAGACTTGAAATATTACCTAAATAAAAGAGTAATAAGTGCAGACATTTTGAGTTGGTTGAAAGATAGCTTCCCGTCGCTCACCTCTGTAAACCTCTTGCATGAATGCCAAAGAATGGGTTCAAGCAGGCTCCAAATACTGTTACTCCAAATATGGAGCTGTCCCGGGCCACCCTCAGTGAGAGACGATATCTGTAATCAACCTGCTCCCTCACACAGCTGTAACCACACTTGGAACATCTGCATCTGTGGAGGACACAGAGAATACAGGTGAACTTGTGTGGATGTGTTAAGTGTGTTTTATAGAGCTAATTTGCAATGCAAGGATACAGCCTTTATATAGTCTAGCTAACGGTACCTCAAAATGAAGTGCTGGTATTGATTTCAGTTCAATTAGATACTGTAAAGTTTTGAAAATACACTTCATGGACCCACTGCGTCCCCTTCAGAACTGAAATGAATCTTCTTCGTTGGTTGTTTAGTGTGTTTACCTCGTCGTGTCCTGCGGCTCAGCATCAATCCTCGAGAAGCAGTCTTTACAGCACGGATAAAACACACAGGCACTCTGCAGAGACAGCACGACGCAATCCACCAGAGCCCGTCTCACAGGCATCCAGCCGAGCTCTTTGGAGAGTAACGTTGAGTTACTCTGAGGCACGGACACTTGGCTGCAGCTAGCAGGCTAACTGAGTGTTGTATTAACTTAACGCTACATGTAACCTCAGCAACTTTAACACCAACAATTGTTCATAAAGATAGAACCATGTGTGGGTTAGAGCTAAAACACACACTTAACGTCTCTAGACTGCCGCTCCACCGCGTACTTCTTCTGCTTGTTTTGGTTTACTGGCGGTTGGAGAGCCAGTTTAGAGGCGCACTGTCGCCGCCTACTGGGCTGCATGTGGAACACACGATTGGCAGTAAAAAAAAAATCTCTGCTTAATTTGGAGGAATTTTAATATAAAAAGACTTGTTTTTTATTGATATGTATTTCACTTACTTATAGAGAATGAAGAACTATTATCAAAGAGAAACAAAAAACCTGTTAATGTATTTTTGGATCTATTTCAATCTATTTTACTGTATTTTTGTGTCTGAATTAACATTTTCGGAAAGTACCAATGCAACAGAAGAATATTTTAATGTGTGTTCACGTTAAACATACTAAAAGCATTCATGTTACATTTCTCTGATAAAAAAATTGACCTGCCTTTGGTACCAAAAGTAATTTCAAAATGCAATTTTATTTTGTCTTGTGAAGTCTGGCAAAGAATGATGCAAACATTCAGTTTGATGAGTGTCTGTACCATCTGATCCTGTAGAGATGCAAGATAATACCGTTAGAACTGATGAAGCATGGACTTTATATTACAATACTATGGTATTTGAGGCTGTGTGGTTTTGAATATGGCAGCCGTTCATCAAAAGAAAAGACAATCTCACTTTTTCTCCTTTATTTAATTGATTTCATGGTGTACACAACATAAGGTTATATCACAGTTTACATTTAATCATTTGGTCAACATTGGAAGGCTACCATAGTAATTCTAGTAACGCACGGCACAAAAGTGTTACAAATATGTTGTTACTCAATTATACCAAAGTGACCACATTTCCTGGCAGAAAAATATATAAAATATTTCTGCTTTACATACCATAAATAGCAGTTAATCTACTAAAAATACTTTGTAGGAAGGGTGTATATGCAGCTATTAAAATAAGTTGTAAAATGTGAATGAAGAGAGTAACCATAGTCCCACTGATGGTTTGTGTTTTCGATGGTTTGTTACCACAGAGGGGCTCTGGTCAGCACCCCTTTCCAGCTGCGAGAATCTGCCACCTTAAAACAGAGCAAGGAAGTGTGTGCAAACATGAAACCGAAAAATAATGACATGCAGTAAGAAACACAAAGACTGCAGAAACAGCGTAGAGACTTGGAGAATACATGAAAAATATTTCTGAGACTGCTGCAGCTAAATACAATACATTCTGGAAAATTGCAATTTGCAAGGTTTAAACATTAATTTGATTAAGTTAGGTTTTCTATGTTTGATCAGAATGACTAAAGAGGTAAAAACTCCAGCAGCACCTTCAACAAGGTCATGATCACAATGACTCACCTGCATTCTCTTATGAAGAAACCTCAACTTCTGGTTGAGACATTCAATCTCCTGCGACAAGACAGACACGAAAGTGTTACGCGGTCAAGTGGATGTGGAGATACACTATCACGGTGATATGGTCACATTTTCACAATCAAAATCAATCAAATAACATGTCTGATGAGTAGGTGGCCAGGGTTACACTCATATGCATGAATGTGTTATGGTTATCGTTGTGTTCACTGTTGACGAAGGCCCAGAGAAAAGTACCTGGCTTAGTTTTTCGTTGCGTCTGAGTTTGATCTGAGGCAGAAGTTCCTCCAGTCTCTGAATCTGTAATAAAACATGGAATCTTAATGCAAGTTCTGGCAAGTAATAAAGCTTTACGATCAATACAGAATAAAAATGCCATGAAAATATATTACAGTTAAAAAATGAATACATACAATAAAACAGACAAACCTCAGCTTGTGCTAGCCACAAAGAATCTACTCCAAATTCAAAATGCTGAATCTTAAAAACGTTTCTATTACTTTGTTAATTTGTCATTTGTCTGAAGGAAAATAACTTCCCCCTTCCCAGAGAAGATGTATTGTTGTATTGTTATTGGCAGTGTTGGTCTACATTAGATAAACTCATTGATAGTTTTAAATAAATACTAAATGGCTATTTCAAAGGACACGTGGTTGAATATTTTCTCCTCCAAAGAGGAAGGTAATTTTATGTTGGAGCAGCACTGCTGAGTGATTCTGAATGAATCATTCATAATCCTACCCTCTTGTCAATAGTCTGTAGCCTGGTCTTCATGCTCTTGTTGATCACAGTCATGGTAATGGTTCTGGGCTTGGGACGCACTGGGAACAGAGACATCACAACCGTTACAGATATCTTGCCTTTCTTTCAGACTGAATTTGAGTTTCACTTGTGAAAGAAATGAATATGGCTAATAACTGATTTAGGCAAAAGTAAAGGAGTGCTATCACATTTCTGCAGCAACTACCATGTGTTCTAATGCACAAAGGAGAATACAATATACAGTACCAACAAATCCAGATGCTTATAAACATTTTTAGCTGTGGACAGATGTGTAGTTAGCCAGGAACTATATGACTAGCGATACTGTGTTGCCTTTTCTCCTCCTTTGTGACTCAAAATGTATTGCAATCCATTTTGGTTGAACCTGTACTTTATGTAACCAGGATTTATGTCATAATCTAAATGTCATCTGCTTTAACATAGTGTAATAGTATTTAACACTATAATGTAGTTGTGTGCAGCCATGGGTGCCATATAGTGTTTATTAATGTACAGTATTTGTAAACAATTATAACTTCTTCTGTGAGGACATATTTTCATATTACTACAACTGTGTTTTGTTATATTGTCATTTATTATCTGTTTATGCGGGTGTCCTCAGACAGTTAGCTTAGCTTAGCACCCAGACCTGATACAGAGGGAAACAGTGAGCCTAGCTCTGGCTAAGTGTAATAAAATGTGCCCACCAGCATCTCTAAAGATAACGATTTATGTCATATCTCGTTTGTTTCATTTAATTAAAAATCGAAATTGGTAAACTATTAATTATTGGATGAAAAAAACCAAGATATACTATATTATCAGCAAGCTTTTGGAGGTGCTTGTTACGTGTTGCTATTCTATGAACAGCGTTGTGTAGTGTAGAGGCCCCAATGAAAGGCCCCTGTCCAGATCTTGACCCACAGTTTAAGAAAACACTGTCAAAGAGAAAAGAAAGTGAGTCCACTCTTACCATGCTGAAAGATCTTGGTTACCTCAAGCACATAAGGCCTGTGGTGAAAAGCACATGACACCAGTAGTAATTAATAAGAGTATGCACTGAATAGATGTAGAGACTTAACTGTGTGCAGACAAAGACTCCTTACATGTGCTTGCTGTTAGCAGGGATCGAGCTGTTCAGAGGGATCAGACAGCCGCGGTGGTTCCTTAACTGCAAACAAACCAAAGCACAAGTCATTTCACAATTTCAGCTGCAACCAAAAACAGATTTTTCTTTCTTTTTTAACAATATTCTGCAGACACATGCATTTCTGTAGTAGGGCTACACCTTGTACCTTGAATATGACATCGGAAGTGTTCAGCCCAAAGGTAGTGGTGATAATCTGAAAAAAAGATTTAACGTGAAAATATATGACATGAAAGACAACACAGAGCTTTAGTTATTTATCTTTTTAATAATTATCTTTAATATTTCAATTTTCTATATTTTGATACTTATATTAAATAGGTGAACAAGAACATACTATGTAGGTACAGTGATAAAAACAACAGGTGGAGTTCACTTGCACACCTGTATGATCACGGTGGCCTCAGCTGCTGGAGGAATGGACACTTCTCGAAGAGCCACCACTCTGTCGTCTGCAACGGATACAACATGAGATGCTACCACTTTCTAATATGTCAACCTTTAAAAAGTGTTGTAACTACTGGCTTTATTAATGACGCAAAACAACCTGACCCAACCAAAACATCTCAAAACAAAAGGAAAATTATTTCAAATATTGGAATGAAACCAGTAAATCATAAAGTAAAATAAAGAGAGTACACGGTTACAGCCACATTACCCAGGGAAGCCAGGCTGTGTTCACTTTGGTATCACAGAGCGGTGGAGACACAATCTCACTTCTTACTGTACTGTGAGAAATAACCATTAAGATAAGAAAGATCACGCTCCAGTAGACACAAGTGTGATGTGGACAATTAAAACCTCCAGTACACATAAAGAATGGACTTTAACGTGAAGTGTGTCCAGTATTTAAATTTTTGACATAAAGAAAATATTTGCATCTTTATATATTCTGGATATTTCAATGAGGGAGCAGCAGTAGATGTCATTTTAAGAATTGTCCCTTTTGTGGAAAAACATATAATAAAACGCCATCTCTCTTACACACACACACACACACACACACACACACACACACACACACACACACACACACACACAGGGCTGGCCCTAATCATTCCGTTTTACAGTAATCCATATTCAGATTAAATAGATGTTTATTTCCCTCTTTAAAATACTACACTATAGAATAAAACTGATAACACTCAACAGTCAAATGCAGCTGCTGCTCTCCTCTTTGACCATTTATGGATACAAGCCTCACCAGCTACAGCTGACCAATTGCTGAAGTAGAAACAAAGTAAAAAAAATTAATGTATGAATAACGTGAGTATCCAGCATACTCACGTTATTCATACATTCATTTTTCTGTCCATGACAGAAATATGGAGACAGCGAGATCCTTCCTGCACGAAATATGAGCGCTTAGTGAGTCTTTAATGGGTTAAAGAGGCTGGTTGACATGGACACCGACGCAGACGGACACACACAGAGAGCAGTGGCTGAAGAATAATCAATAACTGATTGTAAAGTCATAACACGTGCAGAAACATACGAACCGTTTTTGTCAAGTCGTCTCGGCGCGATCCAAGCCTCTGATGCACGTGGTGATCTGGAAAAACTGACGTTAGACATTTTAATCATCCGAACAGTAGCACGAGACACGAGAGTAGCCTACCTGCGACTTCCGGTTAGGGACTTTCAACATACGTCTTTATAAATGTGCTCTGCTCTCAAATATGTTAATTATAAAGTGTCCTACATCAAACAGATTAGTGAGAATAATAACTGCACAAATATATAATGAAATGACTTTGGGACC